ACAATCTACTTCCGTAGTGATACTGCCTCGGAAACCCAAGGAGGGGTCGCTATGAGTCGGGGCCGACTCGACGGCACATAACAACAACAACAACAAACTAGCCAAAAAGCAGGCAGAGGCATCTCAGAAGACAGGCTTGGCAATCTGCTTCCGAAAGGTCATATACAGCCTTGAGAACCCTGTGGAAAACAGTTTCACTCATACACATGGGGACACCCTGAGTCAGAATTGATTCAAGAGGCAACTAACAGCAACATTTTCCAGGCACCAGGGAACACAAATTAAAGGCCTTCATAGAAGCTAGACCTCACAGTAGGATTCTGGAGCCCTCACTCAAAACATACACTCTAATGCGGAAGGCCAGAAAAGTTGACTGTGGAGGTCCTTGCTGTTAGGCAAAGGGTTGTTGCTGTTGTTGTTGTTATTGTTGTTAGGTGCCATCAAGTCATCTCTGACTCACAGTGACCCTGGGTACAGCAGAACGAGACATTGCCTGGTCCTGCACCAGCCTCATAATCCCCGCTATACCTGAGTCCATCATTGCAGCCACTGTGTCAATCCATCTCGTTGAGGGCCTTCTCTCTTTCATTGACCCTCCACTTTACCAAGCATGACAAAGGGTACTTTTGTGAAATTAGTTAAGCACTTAGCTGCTAACCAAAAGGTTGGGAGTTCGAACTCACTAGCCACTCACTCCATGGGAGAAAAGACCTGGCCATCTGCTCTCATAAAGATTACAGCCTAGGAAGTCCAAACGGGCATTTCTACTCTGTCCCACACAGTCTCTATGAGTCAGAATTGACTAGATGGCACACAATAACATTTGTGAAGATGGTCCTCAGGTGCCATGCAGCCTGGATTAGAGAACAGAGCCCCCTATAGGCAGGAATCAGTACTGAGACATTTGGTGTTTGTTATGATATGGGACGACAAGCATTAAAATCCTGAAAAATGACAGCAGAAAGGATTCCCCACAGCCAGATATCACAAAACCCAGAATACTTATGCTGAGAACCCACGTTAAATCAATTAGAAATCCTAAGATGGAAATTTCATTTCATTAAGATCATTTACCCAGATCTCTCACCATCTATGTTGCTGTTTAGTGTTTGTTTATATGGAGGACACAGTCCTCATTTTTTGGCATGTATTTTCCATACTCAAAGGGTTAAGGTATGAAATGAGACTGCCACACAGATAAAAATGGAAGGTTTGCTCACATCCTAGGTTTCCTTCAAGTTTTAATCACTTTTCCACATAGTTCCTCAAGCCTGGTTCTTTGGCATCTAGAAATCTGCTGTTGATAACCCACACTCTGGAATGCTTTGCCTGTTTATTAGCCTGAATCTTAACCTCCACACAAGGAAAAAGAGATGTGTATTCAACGGATGACTTCAAACATTTTCTCTTGGTGAACAAACTCATCAAAAGATACACAGCACAGTAAGCAACTAGCTGTGGCCACTCTACAGCAGCCCAAATGATATTGATTTTATGCTGATTCGTGAAAATGTCAATCATAATTTTTGTCGTCTTCATCAAAATGTCGCTTGAGGAGGGGGAATTGAGTTGTGAGAGATCCTAAAAGTTATCTGGAGCCTAAAATTATGTCTAACCTTAAAATATCAAAGTAATGGAGTGGAAAGCATGACATACTATATATCTGAAGATAAGGAAAGCTAATAAACATTTCCATACTCAAGACCCTTTGGAGAGAAAATTTACAATTCTGACACATATATGGCTTAGGGTTCAATCTTCACTCTTTCACCAAGAATTCATAGTTTGACAGCAAGTCCACTGACAAATATGAATTACTCAGGAAAATACAATTCACTGGGAAGTTTCCAAGCTTGTCTCTTTAAATGTAGATATAACAAGGGGCATGAAACACACACACACACATACATGCACACACACACACCGTGAGCTAATTTTTTTTTTTAATTTATTTTTCAGGCTACTAAGGTGGGTTCTAGGAGCTCTGGTAGCATAGTGCCTAAGGCACTTGACTGCTAATCAGAAGGCTGGCAGTTCAAACCCACCAGCCACTCCTCGGAAGGAAGATGGGGCAATCTACTTCTGCAGTGATACTGCCTCGGAAACCCAAGGAGGGGTCGCTATGAGTCGGGTCTGACTCAACAGCACGTAACAACAACAACAAGGGTGGTTCTATCCTGTGGGGGGAAGAAGGGGCGATTATGGCTCAAGGATTCCCCAACAGCTTTCTATTCTTAAAACCACATTGCAATCTAACAAACTTTCTACCCAGCTTTCATTCCTTCCCCCTCTCCTCCACAGGGGTCAGCCCCACAGCCTGGGCTCATGTCTCCCTCCTCCCAGCTCCCCCTTATCTCCCAACTCCCCCACCTCACCTTATTTCCCTCCCAGGAATTTTCCCTCTTACACATCCAATCCCATTTTAGTCCCTGAGCCTGTCTCAGAGAACCCCTACTAATACACAAGTACCTCAGATTCAACAGTTATCAAGATTTTGCATTGAGATTTTGTGGCACTTCCGTCATCTTACTCTTTCTTTAAAAAAAAAAGCAAATTAACAGAATCTCCTCTAAAATTTTAGACATATTCCATCTTAGGTCCCATGCAAGAGTTGCCACTACTTTTTTTTATTTCTGTCTGTTCTTCCTTCTAGCCTTCCTTTCATTCTCTCTCTTCCTTTCTTTTTCATCACTCAGCATCTTCTCCTCCCACATTTCAAAAGGGTCTTAAATTATCTGAAAGTTCCCTTCACTATAGCCCTGTAAATGCTGATTTAAGTTTATCAATAAAGATGTTCAACCTCCAAAGGAAGATAGAAGAGTACATGTGTGTGTGTGTATATATATATATACACACATATATATATACACACATATATACATATATATATACACACATATATACACATATACATATATATACATATATACACATATATATACATACATACATACATACAAAGAAAGTGTTGCTGGCTTCCTGGGATTCTTTCAGAAAAACAAACCAAAATCAAACTAATTGCCATCGAGTCATGTCTGACTCAGCGACCGCCATTGTGTTTCCAAGGCTGAAAATCTTCATGGAAGCAGACTGCCTTACCTGACTCTCACGGAGCAGCTGGTGGTTTTGAACCACTGACCTTTTAGTTAGCAGCCAAATGTCATAACCATTACACCACCAGAGCTCCTTCTTTGAGAGAAAGGACTACAGAAAAAGAAACGTGCCCAGGAAAAAGGGAGAAAAAGCTTGGACAACATCTTTAGAAGGTGTTTGGGGCAACCCTCTTTAAGCACCAATCCCTTCAACTATCTTACTCTGTTTTTCACTGCAGCCTCTGATTGTTTACACACCATCAAAAGCTCTTGTCAATTACCTGTGTCTACAATGTGTACTGTGAAGTTTGAAAAGGTTTTATTAATAGACCTCAGCAGCACTTAATGAGCTTAAAGGGCTTACCTGCGTGTCCCCGGAGATGCTGGCTCGAGGCGGACAGCAGCTTGCAACACACCATCAACACGTAGGCCAGGAAGAGCCAGTGCAACAGCAACACTGACTTAGTGCAGACTCTCATCCTGGGGAGAAAGCAGGACAGGTTAGTGAGAACGCTGAGAGACGAGGCTCCTGCAAACACAGTCCTGTGAAGGGGAGAGAAACAGGAGAGAAGCTTGGCACTGGACTTTGCCCCCAAGAAAACTGAGGGCCAACCAAACCGTATCTGCATTGTGCATTAACTCAATTTCCAATAAACTTCATTTATAATTAAGATTTTTCCAAGTTAGCACCATGCATCTGTGAGAAGTCTATTTATGAATCCCCAAGGTGTGTTCAAGTTGCCCTCATAGGCCTGAGGGTTGTATTCTATTTTATGTAATGAAATTAAAAATCTACACACTTTGAGCTGGAGTCAAATAAAATATATGCGGTTCCTGCATCTGAAAGGAACTATGGCAATTTTCTGCAGGCGGCCCAAGGGCTTCCTCCTGGTTTCTGGGACTGTACAGGCAGTCCCCATATTAAGTCCATTCATAACTGTGTCTTGAAGTCAAATTTGTAGGTAAGTTGGAACAAGTGCATACAGTTCTTATTTAGCCTTACTTTGATGCAAGAAAAGGGCTGAAGGCTTTTCGATTATTGAAAAGCTGCATATGCAGCAAATAAAGGTGATTGTGATGAAGAATTTGTTCAATCATCTCAAATAGAGTGCAAATTTACATAACATTAAAGGGCAAGTACAAGTTGTCTAGTAAGTCTGACTTTTCTAACCTGGAGACTGCCTGTATATAAAGACCCTCTGGTCTGCAAGACCAGACTCATATTTTATGAAACAAATCTTGAACTTTGGTGACTCCATTTTATCAGAATAAAACTGTGTCCCACAGTTTTCGGTGGCTGAGCTTTCTGAAGTAGATCTCCAGAGCTTGCTTCCAAGTTGCCTCTAGGTGGCCTTAAACATCCAACCTTTCAGTTAACAGTTAAGATCATTAATATTATGTATCACAAAATTCCATATTTGCTGAGTTTTTTAATGGGGTACCCTGTCCCACACACACTAACATAATATTTTCAAATTTCAGTTATTAATCCCAGTATCAGTACGCCTACCAAGTACCTAAGCAGCCTGGCTACCTTTAGGCCCTGGCAAACACTGGGAATCATGGCGATATGTCCAGGGGCAGCTGCTACCACCCAGTCAATCATAAGCTTAAACCCACAGCCACTGACTTGATTCCAACTCATAGCAACCCTATGGGACAGAGTAGAACTGCCCCAGCGGGCTTCCAAAGCTGTAAATCTTTACAGAAGCAGGCTGCCTCATCTTTCTTCCACAGAGTGCCTGCTGGGTGCTTTTTGGTTAGCAGCCGAATGTCTTAACAACTGCACTATCAGAGCTCCTTCAGCCAATTATAGTCATGCAGAAATGAGAGGTAAGGATGCCAGAAACGACAATTTTTAAAAAGAAGCTGGATTCTGATATGCAGTCTGCACATTTTATATGCTGGCAACTAACTCAATTTGCTTTAAAAATATAGTGCAGACCAAACAAACCACATTTGCAAGCTGGATTAGATGCTCTGGCTTCCAGTTTGTAGCAATTAGTGCCCCCAAAAGGAAAGATTTCAAGAAATCAGATGAATTATCAGTTTTCTATTGCTACATAACAAATTATCACAAATTTGGCAGCTTAAAAAAACACATATATAATCTCACAGTCTCTGTAATTCACAAGTCTGGCACATACTAACTGGGTCTTTTGCTCAGGAAGTCACAAGGCTGAAATTTCATCTGGAGTTTCAACTATGGAAAGATCTGCTTCCAAGTTCCCTCAGGTTGTTGGTAAAATTCATTCCCTTGGGAGTTCTGGTGTCATAGCGCCTAAGGCACCTGACTACTACCAGAAGTCTGGCAGTTCAAACCCACCAGGTACTCCTCGGAAGGAAGGTTGGGCAATCTACTTCCATAGTGGTATCACCTTGGAAACCCAAGGAGGGGTCGCTATAAGTTGGATGCAACTCCACGTCAGTGTGTTTGATTTTTGGTTTGGGGGCTTTATGACTAAGGTCCCCCCTCTTTCCTGCTAACTCTTGGACAGCTCCCATAGGCTGCTCCCAGGTCTCTGTTATGTGGCCTCTCTAGAAGCCCTCTCATGGTGCAAATCTTTTCCTCCAGGAAGGACCCAGTCCCTTTTAAGGGTTCAAGTGATTACATTAGGCCCAATAAGGACAGCTCCCCTTTTGATTAACTCAAAGTTAACAAATTTGGGACCATAATTACATTTGTAAAATCTCTTATTTGTCATATAAGCATAAGTTAATTATAGGGTGAATTCCCTCATATTCACAGTTCTGCCCATGCTCAAAAAGGATGGAATTATACATGGCTTATAAAACAGGGAGTGGGAATCTTGAGAGCCATTTTAGAATTCTTTCTGCCATAAATGGGCAAATGATGCAGTCACAAAAGTGTATTCATATATTTAGTTCACAAAACTCCAAGCAGGTATGTGAAAGTTCAGAAGAAAAGCCTGGCAAACTACTTTCAAAAAAAATGGTCATTGAAAACCTTATGGAACACAGCTCTACTCTGACACACATGGCATCTCCATGAGTTGGAGTCAACTTGATGGCAACTGTTTTTTTTTTTATGAACACTTAAATACATAACTTGAATACCCACCTTTGTACCACCTATGGACTTAAAGTATTTATGTTGTTGTTGTTGTTATTGTTGTTTTTAGGTACCATCAAGTCGAATACCAACATAGTGACCCTATAGGACAGAGCAGAACTGCCCCACAGGGCTTTCTAGGCTGAAATCTTTAGTGGAGATCACCAAGTCTTTTCTCCCAGAGAGAGGCTGGTGGATTCAAACCATCAACCTTTTGGTTAGCAGCTAAGCAATTAACCATCGCACCACCAGGGTGCCTCCAAGTGTGTACAGATGCAAGTTAATCTCAAGATTCACACCAATGCACTGTCCCTTGTTGCCCTTTTCTTCATTTGGTGTTTCTAGAGTTTTCAGAGAGACCTTGAGCACCACCATCTCCCTGCTCAGTCCATGTGTCCACTGCCTACTCTTTTCAGACATGAGCAACATTTCTGAGAACTTCAAATACAGGCTGCTCCCTGTCCTTGTTAAAACCATCTGACTCAACCAGGTTCTAAAATATATCTTCTTGTTCTTAATTAATTTCAAGATGCCCAGGTGTCCTATTGGCTTCTTAACTCTTCTACCCTCCACTGAGTACCCTCAAACACTGTCTCATGCTTGGTGGATGACTCCTCTCTTCACTGCAACATCTCACACAATTTATAGTCTCCTAATTCAGAACATGCCCTTCAGGTGAGTTACAATCTCTTCCACCTAACCTACAAATGAAATTCAGTTTCTAGCTTTTTATCAGTTCTCTGTATTGCCTAAACTTGTTTGGATGGATATCACCAAATTTGGAGAGTATACTGGAGAAGGTGATATAATTGGAGAGTATATATGGGAGACAGAAGAAGAGAAATGGTTGAGAAAGAGAATGGAAAAAAGCAAGGCAGAGGGACGAGTAGAGCTGGAATACAGTGTCAAAAAAGGCATCAGAAAATCCTATGGAGGGTTCCAGAGCTGGGATGACCTTTCGAGGGTCCTGAGTTAGAATGAGTGGCCAGGCCTTTATACTACCATGTTGACCAGTCACTGGATGTGAGCTACCCCTAGAAAGAGGGGTCATCTTGGGCAAGTTGGTGCTCTAAATTGAGGATGATTCTCGTAGAGAGCTGACAGCACTCCCAAAAGTTAGAGGAATAAATCCTTCACTCCTGATGGGGAATATTGGGAATGCATCATAGCACCCACTACTGTCCATCTTAAAATACAGACTCCATGCATATGCCTCATTTATTTTAGTGGGGCTATAGGAGTCACCCCCAAGGGAAGACCCATCCTCTGAGATCCAAGAAGCCCATGCCATGTTTACTGATAATGCTGTATTTCCTTCAATAATCCAGATCCCCACTAAGAAGATTTCTTACCTACTACACCTATAAGGAGCCCTGGTGGCTGAAATGGCTAAACATGGGCTGCTCCCCAGAAGGTTGGCAGTTTGAATCAACCCAAGGGCTCCTTGGGAGAAAGACCAGGTGATCTGCTCCTGTAAAGATTACAGCCAAGAAAACCTGATGGGGCAGTTGTATTCTGTCACAAGGAGTGGCTAAGAGTCAGAATCAACTCAATGGCACCCAACAGCAATCTTATCTATGATACTTCAACTTCAATTCTTCTACACTGAACATTTTTGTACAAAAGTTAAACAAAATGGGTTTAACTTAACAATGCTGCCTTTTCCCTCACATTTTCCACTACTGAACAGTCAAAGCACTGCTTGGCAAACTGAAATAATTTCAAAGATAGAAGCTAAAATTTAAAGAATTAAGATCCCCTAAATTCTAAAAAAAAAAAAAAAAAAAATCTCTATAGAAGAAGGTCTGATAAATGCTCATCAACACTAGAATACTCAGTTTAACTAAATTCTTTATTTTTCATAAAGATATCATCTCTGGGTATGTAATAAAATCATTTTACCTTGGGGACTTCAAAAGATGTGGTACCAGTCAAAAAAATTATTCCTGGAGGTATTTCTGGGCAACTCCAAATTCCCATTTGTAAACAGGACCAAGCATTTCTGTGCTTCCAAAAAAAAATTATTTCAGTTTGGAAGACCTATTTTAAAAACAAAGAAAGAGAGGCAGCAGTTAGCATTTTTAATGTTGAAATGAAACAGATTTCAGAAGCAAAATAGTGGTTTGATGAGAACGCCTGCAGGTTCAGGCAAGTGGTAGACCGCCAAAGACATCCAGATTTGTAATGTGTCCTGAGAAAAACTGATATGGAATTCTGCACTTATTAACTTGATACATATTAGTTAATAGGGTATAATTTTTGAAATACCAGATGTTCTCTCAACAGCAAGGGCTTTCAAAATTGGATTCTGACTCAAAGCGACCCCATGTGTTGCACTGTAGAGCTGCAGCCCACAGAGTTGTCATGGCTATGACCTTTCTTCTGAGGCACTTCTAGGTAGGTTCAAACCACGTACCTTTTGGTTAGTAGTCAAGTACTTAACCATTTGTGTCACCCCGGGACTCCTCAAATTTGACAGAGGGCCCCAAACCATTGGACATGCATAACTTCACTGTCAATGGAACGGCAGAAAGGTAATTAGAGATGATCCATTACCAAGAGGCTCTACAACTGGTACAAGCTCGCAGTGGGAGAGCCAGCAGGAAGACCTGAAACTCTGGCCCTGCGTAATCTAAACCGGAAGACATTGCTACACAATCTGCAAGGTTGCTTCATGAAAAGCGATAATGGGAAGCAGACGGGAGAAGTCTTTCCAATATAAAAACCAAAAAACCAAACCAGTTGCTATCGAGTCGATTCCAACTCATGGCGACCCTATGTGTATCAGAGTCCAGCTATGCTTCAGAGGGCTTTCAATGGCTGATTTTTCAGAAGTAAATTGCCAGGCTTTCCTTTGAGGCCCCTCTGGGTGGACTCGAACCTCCAACCTTTCAGTTAGCAGATGAACACTTACCATTTATGCCACCCAGGGATTCCTCCTACAACAATGTGCCAAAACATAAAAATATTTGTTAATTCTGGAGTTGCCGCTGAATACTGTCCCTCAATGCACAGACCTAAAAGG